CATTGGCTGGTGCTCTGAGGAGTGAAGCAGTTATGTCATGATTTTCTTTTATGGTTTTTTTTTCTTTAATGGTTTTTAAATAATACTTCACATAATCCAAAAGTTGAACTAAGATTACAAAAGATTTAGTGATATAATCTTTATTGCTTGATACATAAAGCGAGTGCAGACCAGACTGCGTACAGACGTGGACTGTGGGAGTGTGACGTCACCCACGGCGTTCGGCTGTTGAAGGGAACGTCCCTTCCCGTCTGCACCGCTGGTTTGGCAGGGAGCGGGTGATTAGCAGTGCTGTCACTCAAACCTGTTGTAAACACTCAAAGAAAGAAGGCACCTGATTAGTCTTTTATTTATGCCTTCATTTAGAGACAATACAGTGAAATAAAAACCCTAGGATCATGTGGAGCGAGGTAATGCGTACATTTTAAGACCAAAATGACAAGAGGGCGGCAATGATTTTTCGATACAAAGTGAACTGGAGCCAGAAGCACCCTTACTCACTTCCTATTTGGCACACGGCAGCTAGCGGGTTAACCATGTCCATTTATACAGTTTTTGGTGCAGATCTAGCCTAAAAGGGACAAATCAAAACAGACAGTGTTTTTTAGAAATGAATTTTAATTGAAATTTTTACAAAAAACAGATTCAAGCTTTGTTTTCTCCGACAGTTTTTAGTATGTACAGTCCGCTCTCTGCACAAGTCCATTTAAAGGCGTATTGCGGAGCTTCAGCCGAGCTCGTCCTTGGTCTTGCCCTGTTTCCGGGGCATCTTCTTGGTGCTGCTGTCCTCCAGCTCTTTGCTCTTGTAATAATGAGGAGCCACTTCCAGCAGCCAGCTGCTGTCGATCTCTATCACCTGTGAGTCAGCACAAAAATACTGTTAATATAAGGACACACACGACCAGTCAAGAGTTTGCACACACCCTCACATTCATTTTTTTAATTTATTTTTGTTATGCTTCTTTCTTCATTTTAGATGCACACAGAAGACATCAGATATATGAAGCAAAATGTATGGAATTATGTAGCAAAAAAAAAATGAAAAAGTGTGATCAAAATTTTGACTGGTCGTGTGTTTTAGACTTTTTCTCTTATTGAATGTTAGGTAATACTGGCTAAAACTAAAACCTAACAGATAATAAACTGAACTGTCCCATTTTGCATATCTGCAAAACTAATTCGGATCGGATATTGCCATTGATACTGAAAAATGTGCTGGGTCAGGTATTGGTTCCAAAATATCAGTTAAGCCGATATTGGGTCTTTAATATGATGTAATCTAGGCTGATTTTGGCCTAGATTCTCCCATATTGTTTGAACTTTTAGCTCAGTAGTTATTTGAAGGTAAATAACAGCTGCATAACACAACTGGATCTCCTGTGTGATCGAGTTAACTGTGTTTAAAGGAACTGGTATCGGTCAGTATGGGTATAATAATAATAATAATAATAATAATAATAATAATAATAATAATAATGCATCAGTTTCATACAGCGCTTTTCTGGACACTCAAAGACACTTTCCAGAGCATTATTCATTCACTCAATACTCGGTGGTGGCCAGACACTATTGTAGTTTATCACCCACTGTGGCACCTGATTTTCTCAGTGGTCTCCCATCCAAGTACTAACCAGGCCCGGCCCTGCTGAGCTTCTGAGATCTGAAAGGATCAGGCTTTGACAAACCGATATGGCCACAATATCAGCAGATACTTAAAGTCAAAGTATCGATATCAGTATTAGAAGTGAAAAAGCTGGATCAATGCATCCCTAAAAACTTAAAAATGTATAAATGATCTTGCCAAGCCTCAATTCATCTACATTAAGAACTGTTTAAGTATAAAAATATATGTGTGTGAGAAATCCTTCAAACACAGTTGATACTAGGCTTATGAATTACACTGCAGAAAGTGAAAGTGAGACATTTGATAAAAAGTCTTTGTTCTGTCTGTATCATGTCAGTGTCTTGTAGGATTTCAGCAGATTTCAGACTCTCTCGGGGGCGGGGCTAGTTCTATCAATCAGGTGTGAGTGGATGTCCGGCTACTGAAGTTTGAGATGTTTCTTCTCGTCATTTACACAGACGGTAAGACGTATCTCCCTCACTAATGTTAATTTAGCATCAGGACTTATTTGATCACACACCGATAAACTATTTGAGTCTGCTGACAATATTGCGAGCAAGTGTAGGAACTTCATGTGAACCCTAGATCCATATGTAATCGCACAGACAACAGCGTTTTCTGCATTCAGGCTGCGTGTATCTGCGGTGTTACAAAACCACAGACTCTATATATGAACGGACAATGTGCCAAACAAAGAATCCATCCATATATAAGCCGCATCGTTTTATTAGCCGCAGGATTCAAAGTGTGAGAAAAAAGTTGCAGCTTAGAGTCCGGAATTTACAGTAGTTTTGATACCATGTTGATATCAGATTTTCGATACTTTTGCCAGGGCTTAACGCTCAATTCAGATTTTTTTTGTGAAATCCAATGTTTTTGCGAGGTCGTTCACATTTCCAATTAAATGTGATTTGTATGTGACTCCAGTGTGAACAGTACAAGTGTCCCGCATGTGCACTGGAGACACGACGACGTCAACCACAGTGAGTGTGCTCTGTGTTTACGGAAGTTGTCCAAACATGGACGCAGCATTGAACACCTGGAGATTTTAAAGTTCCTCTTGTACCGGAGCCCGAACATGAACAACTTACTTGTTTTAAGGAGGAGATTGAAAAGGAGAAGGACAAAGTTTTGGGCCGTGGTGTTTTGTGGGACAGTCCGTTGAAAGGAACATGTGGATGTGGAGATGTAGCCAAGAGTGGTGGGATAGCGATGTTCTTTGCTTCAGTGACACGGAGTTCATTAACTGTTTTCGTATGACGAGAAGAACGTTTGTGTACATTTGTGTCTTGTTGATAACGTGTGGATGGATGTGCTTTGGCTGCTCAGACTGAAGTCACATGTCAAAAGATCAGATATGTATCGATTTTAAGAGCACATTTCAAAGTGTTCTGGGTCGCATTTGAAAAAATTGGATCTGTGTTGTTCAGACTGTCAATAAAAGATCAGATACAGGTCACATAGGAGCCAAAAAATCGGATTTGGGTCACTTCAGGCTGCAGTGTGAATGTAGTCTAAGAGTCTTACCTGTCTCATGAACTCCTTGGTGGTGAAGACGAGCTCGTGGTAAATGAGCCATCTTGGTTGCTCTTCAAACAGGGAGCTGTTGGGGTGCACGTACACGGTCTGCTGGTGCTTCACGGTTTTGTATCCTCCTTTACTGAGACGCGCCGTGTGGTAGAAGTATCCTGCTGTGACTGCCTGAAACAAACAACAACAGGAGACGTGAGTCGGTGTCTCCCATTAGTGTCCCATCTCCCGGGACACTATAGCTGCACCCAGTCTACAACATGGGGAGACATTCATTCAAAGATTCGTAATATAATATAAAAGTAACATTTACATGCCAAAAATTGAGTCTCCCCTCCCTTTGCTCTCCACAGTCACTCCCCCCTTCAGAGCACTATCACAGCACAATCAGTGTGAGAAACTACTGAGCATCACATCAGGTTTGTCAAGTTATTATGTTTAGTTTGTCTCATATTTTTGTGTATTTATGGAGAATTGTCGCTTCGTGAGCATGGGTGATACAGGCTTGTGGGCGGAGCCTTGTACAGAATCTTATGGCTAACTGTAAGGAGTGAGAGATTACTCAAACAGGCATATTTTTAATGAGAGAACAAAGTTATAACATGGTAGAAAGCTGAAAAAAGTCACCTCTTTGATATAATTGTATTTATTTTAGGGTTGCCATTCATCAAATCACACAGACTTTTAAACTCAAAACTCTTTTAATGTCTGGAAAAACATTGTGAAAAAATAAATCGCATTTCATTTCTAAATATTAAACAAAGGTAACTAATTTTCTTCCTGAAGATCGTCTTGTTGGAGTTTGGGCAGCTGACACCTCTAGTTTGTACTCAGACCAGAACTGTGCTCGCTGTCACATGTTGTGTTTAAATGGTATCGTAGGGTTGAGGTGTTTCTGTGATCTGCAAACTTTTTTCTGCAGTTTGCAATAAATAACGTTAATACTTCCATCAGGTCATTTTTTTGAATAGAAATTTACTGTCCAGCAGACCCAGAGCACTTTCATGCTCCGCTGTTGTTGTAGCATGGATCTATAATAAAAACTGGATAAGGCCCCCTCTGTCCTGGCTCTAGACAGACTAGTGGTCACTCCAGATACTGCAGCTTTGGGAGCTTGGGTCCAGAAAGAATTTTCCCATTGAAGTATAAAGCATTTTTGGGGAATTCAAAATGCCCATATTCTGACAGGACATCAACAACTTTCACAAAGGACGAATTTTGCAGGGATTCTTTTCTATTTTCACAACATAAAATAAAATAAAAAACCTTCAAAGCTCTTAAATGTGATCTCTGTAAGATCTCCGCTCTACAGATGTCACGGGTGGGAAGAGCTCACCCGGATTGAGGAAGTAAATGTGGAAGAGAAAATAATTTTTGGGCCCATGAGCCAATGAGCACAGACCGCTGAAAACAACTCGACACCATCTTGGGATTCTATGTTCTATGTGTCTATGTGGAACTGTGTGCGTCAGTATAACTGTCGTATCACGACATGGTGCAGTGACAAATGGTGCACATGCAAACTGCGATAAAATATGTTAATATTTTTAATGCATTATTTTCTTTTTAATACATTTATTGTAATTAATGTGTTAATGTCTCACCCCCAATTTATTTATAACTTAACATAATTTCATTAATTCTAGCGGCCTGGGGTTTAAACTCTTTAAAAGTTCAGAGCCTTCTTGTCAGACTAATGAGTTTATTTTCGTTTCATTTTACATAATAGCGTCATGGTATTAATTCTACGTATTATATTTTTCTAAGATCAAACCTAAATGGTACCGCCCTTTAACAGTGTCTTCTCAGGGCTGAACCAGAACTTAATCCAAGTAAACCGTTGAGTCCTGAGTCAGAGACAGAAACTGGGTTGGACCTGGGATCTGGTAATGACAGCAACAGTCACATCTGCATTATCTGCACTGAACACTGAGGCTGCACAAAGAGGAAGAACTGGGGTTTTACTTTAAGCCATCTAATACAGAGCTGAATATAGATACAGACAGACAGGATACAAGATTTCAACACGTTTATAGTCACTGAAACATCACGCAAAAACTGAGAAACTGCAGCCATCTAAATACACTGCTCATTTCCTGAGCTAACTTGTAAAGCTGGGCAATATGCCAAAGAATTAATCACAATCTGTAATATTCATACATACGTTTTTGGGCACGTGTACAGGTAAGGATGCATCAGCTCTGATGCCATTTTCGAGAAGTACCTGCTGTTATCCGATATTAAACGATACCAAAGAGAATTGTGTTATGCAGCTGTTATTTATCCTTCAAACCACAACAGAACCACTTAGTATGAATGAAAGTTCAAAGCCCAACCAGGATATCAGCTTAACCGATATCTGTAGATGCCACAGAGACACCGGAACAGGCCACCAAAACACGTCTTACTTATGGAATCTCCTTAGCCCTCCATAACCCCGCTCCTCCCGCTGCCTCCGATCAGGTGAGTCAAACCTCCTCACTCAAGCACCGGACCATCACCGAGCCTTCACCGTCACTGCCTCCGCCCTCTGGAACTGTCTCCCCCTCCGCATCAGCGACTCACTGAACTGAACACCTTCAAAAAACAATCTCCAAACTCACCTTTCCCTCAGAGCCTGTAACCCTCACACCTGACTGCTCCTCGCTACTGGTTTTGTCAGTCCTTGTTTTGTGTTTACTACTGTGACATGTCATTGAGTTACCGTGAAAAGCGCCATATAAACCCGGCGTGTTTATTATTATGAAACGTGAAAAACAGACCTAATTCATTTGTTCGCGGTGGTCCAAAGTTATTCCTCACCTACCGTATGCATCCTGATTAGAGAGTTTACAATAACATGCTTTATAATAGTCCGAGAGTAACAGACTGATTTTGACCTCAAGAGCTGCTTATACAATAAACTAGTGTCTGTAGTGGAGCAGGACACAGTTTGCCTAAAAAACATCAACATAAAATTAGGGGAGTCAAATGATCACGTTAATTGCGATTCATTAATTACAGTCATATTTAGTGTGTCATGTTTTTTAATCACGTTAATCTTATTTTTAATCTCTAACTTTACTGTTTCTGTATGCGAGTTGCCTTATTATAAAATCTGTTTTTATGTGTTGTTAGGACACAGTCCTGCTCCACTCGCTCCCGCAAAGAATTGTAGCCTAATTTTCATTCCCGTTCTCGCCGCATCTGCAATAAACCTGCACACGTCTGATCTCTGAAAACATCGCGACACAGACACAGAACAGACTCACCTTCAGCATCATCATCCCTCTGTCACAGAGAGAACATCTATATTCCACTGAGTCATGTCCTTTAGTAGAAGCTGAACCACATCAACGACACAAGAGCGTTTGTTTTTTTTTTCTGTCCACTTAGTTTATGCAAATGAGCCATGCGGTTTTAAGTTTTGTTTCTGTGAGACTTGCACAAAACTGCATTAAACACATGATAATGTCAAACAGCTGATGTGGCTCTAGAGTGGTGATGTTTATATGTTGTAAAGTTGAGTTTATTTGTGCACATTAGTAATAGTAATAATGATGATACTTATATACATACTATATATATATATATATATATATATATATATATATATATATATATATATAAACGTTAATGATAGTATGAAAATAATGTAATAATGAATTCAAATGAAAATACCTCAAGTTGAAGCATTTCTCAGCAATTTTTAGGTGACATTAAAAAGGAGATTAATTAGATTAATTAACTACAGATCATAATTAATTAATCTCTCAATTTTTTTTTTCGCTTGACAGCACTACATAAAATTGGATACAGCCACTTCAACACTTTAACTTTTACACAATCTGTCAAAAGTCTGGACACACCATCTCGCTTAATGTTTTTTTTTTTTGTGTGATTACTATTTTAAACATTTTAGATACACACACAAGACATCTAATATATGAAGCAAGATATGGAATTATGTAGCAAAGGAAAGAAGTTAAAGGTGCACTATAACTTTTAGTAGGAGGTCGGTCACCTGCTTATATCGAGGAATTTGCTATTGCTCTTGCTTGGACATCACCAAGCTCCTGTACAGTCTAAGGAGCAACCTGGAGGCGCCTGATGGACCCAAACATAATGTCCCAGAGGTGTTCTGTCAGGTTTAAGTCAGGTCATCGTGAGGGCCATTCTGTTGTATCAATCCTTTCATCATCCTCTAGGTTCTGCCTTCAGACTCTCGCCACATGAGGCCGGGCAAAATCGTGCATCAGGAGGAACCAGGACCTACTGCACCAGTGTAGAGTCTGACAGTGGGTTCAAGGATTTCATCCCGACACCAAATGGAAGTCAGATGGGCGTTTTCTAGCCGGTAGAGGATCTGAGCTCCCTCCATGGATCTGCCTCCCCAGACTATCACCGACCGGGTCCGTCGCCTGCTTATTTCTGTGGATTTGTCATTGCTCTGCCTAGAATGTTCCACAGTGTGACATTAAACAGTCCTACTTTACATTTATTCAATTACAGGTAGTTTTATAGCTCAAAAATACCTTTCTGTGGGTCACCTGTCCACAGATCTGACCTGTAACTTGGTCCGCTTTGATCTCCATGAAGATAGAAAGGTTTAACTCCATACTGTGAAACATTGTGTGTGTACTGTATATAAAACATGTACAGCACTATCTGTACACAAGGTAATTCAAAGAGCAAAGCATTAACATCTCCATGGAGAAAAGCAACTGACGGGTCCTCCACCAGAAAAGTTACACAACGCACCTTTAAATATTTTAGATTCAAATTCTCAGAGTCTCCACAATTTGCTTTGTGGACAGAGCTGCAAACCCTTGTCCTTTCTCTCAATGAGTTGAAATGGTTTTCACTTCACAGCTGTGCCACACAAGGTCAAAGCACTGATCAAAGCAAAGGGTAATATTAAAAAAAAAAATCTAAAATCTTAAGCATGTTTGGAGTTATTTTGAGTTTGTGTACTACAGAGATTTGATGCCGTCCGTGAGAATCTACAGAGTAAATAAAGGAGAAACATAAATGAAACAGTGTCTCCAAGTGTTTGACTGGAAGTGTAAAGGTATCCAAGAAGCATGACGCTTCCTTTTGTTTTGGGTCTTGTGAAATCTTCAGTGAAATAAAAACAAACAACGTGGCTGTTTGTGTGTGGTTGAAGATAAAGCACTTTAATAGCAGCTTCTTTCGTTTCCACAGTAAAAGCTTTTATAACCTGGGTGACTTGCTCAACCTCTAGTGTCTCTAAACAAAGACCAAAACATGATCCTTACATAGGCTGACACATTTTACCATTTCAATCGTGTGTGAGGAGAAACCCAAGCTCCAGCGCCACAGGAGAGGACAGAGGCACGGGAATAACAATGGAATGATTCACAGTTTAAGAAGTGATGCGCCAAACGTGGCTTTTAGACCAGAGATCAGGTTTAATCTGCAACACGTCAACAAACATACGACTCCGTACACTACGAGGTCAGGTTCAAACCTTCTGACATGACTTCAGTACTAGAACAGACACAATACTCAATACCGATTCAGATACCACAATCATAAAAAAAAAATAATAATAATAATAACAGAAAAAAAAAAACACTCTTTAGACAATAGAATGTGATTTAGTAGTTTTGTTTCTATTTCCATGTGTCTTATACGTGTGTAATGGTCAGTGGTGCAGTAGGTTCATAGTGTTCATGTGTGTATATTAGTCTATGTGTCTTCTACTTGTTCTGATCCAGCTCAACATCAGTCTAAAGCTATTCAGGAAAACTTCATTTCTGTCCTGTTAATGGGACTTTTTTTTGTATTGACAACGGCAAAAAATTTGTATTTAGTTTTGATACTTGTTTTAGATGATTTTTGATACTTTTGACAAGGCTACTTTATTATTCAAAATGTTAATCTTAATATCAGTATTTGTAACAACTTTGGCTCTCCCTACATGCTGGGACTACATCCATTGAAGTTTTAAAATATATCTTAAATTAATGATAATTTGTGTAATTTGGCGGGAAGTTTAAGCTTCTACATAGATTTTATGGACTACTAGAGAGTCATGTGTTGTTTTTTACATTGTTCTGTTTTATAGACCTACACTGAATTTAACTTTTGTGTGCTTGTGGGTTACCTTGCGTATGGGCACACAGTCGCCCTGCGCGCTCACCACCTCCACCTCGATGCGCTCCATCAGACCCTCGAGCTGATCGCGGACATCTCGCGCTCTTCTCATTGAGCGAAACTGGATGAAGTTTTCATAGCACCACTGTGTGGAGAAGCCGCTCTCCACCCACTGAAGAAACACACACTTCAGTTAGAGACTTTTTCGATGAAATAAACAAAAATATTTAAAGTCAAACACAGAAGTTCATCATAGACACACAACCACATTAGGTAATGCCATGCCAAAATGTGTTTGTGGTAAATAGCTTCCCACATTTGATCTCATGGAAAAATGAAATGATGGCATTCTGTAGGTTTCATAATTGTTATTGGTTTTGTAGTATTAATAGTAGTAGAGGTAGTACACTGCCCCCCAAAAATTAAAGGAACATTTGAAAACATATCAGACCTCAATGTGAAAAAAAATAAATAAATAAAATGCTGTATACCTATACAAATCTGGACAGAGCAATGTCTTAGGAACAAAAGGATGCTCCTAATGAAAATAACAATTCCAGCCACAGAGGGCTTCATTTTCTAGACACCCTGAAAATCAAAGTGAAATAATGATAATAATGATGATGATAATGATAATAGTTCATTTTATCAAAATGTCATTTCTGCAACTCAAAATGCTTCTTAATATTTTCTGTGGCCCTCATGTGCTTGTTTACATGTTTGACAACATCGTGAGATGCTCCTAATGAGATGACGGATGGAGTCTTGTGGGATGTTCTCCCAGATCTGTGTAAGAGCATCACTAAGCTCCTGTACAGTCTTAGGAGCAACCTGGAGCTGCCTGATGGACCCAAACATTATGTCCCAGAGGCATTCTGTCAGGTTTAAGTCAGGTCATCGTGAGGGCCATTCATCCTCCAGGTTCTGCCTGCAGACTCTTGCCACATGAGGTCGGGCATTATCGTGCATCAGGAGGAACCAGGACCTACTGCACCAGCGCAGAGTCTGACACTGAGTTCAAGGATTTCATCCTGATACCTAATGGCAGTCAGACTGGTGTTTGTAGTCAGTAGAGGTTTGTGCGTAAACTAAATGCCTGTCTCCTAAAATATCCATGTTCTGGAAATTGTGCTGGAGACACATTAAATCTCCTTGTAACGACACATCCGCATGTACTATCCCTGAAAAGTTGGACAAAATGTGCAGCTTCTGTAGGGTTAAAGAATCACCTCATACTCCGAGTAGTGATGATCACTGTAGCCAAAGCAGCACTAGTGGAAAACCAGAGAAAAAAGACTAAGAGGGAGAAACCTGAAATGACCTCCACAAGCAAAACCAGTCCTGTTTTAGGGGCTGTGTCTCTGGTGCCGCTTTAGTGCATCTGTTGTTTATTTCCATTGCCCTTTCCATATTTGTATAGATATACAACGTTTTTTTTCCACATTGAGATCTGACGTATTTTCAAAGTGTTCATTACATTTTTTTGAGCAGTTTCTGTGAAGCTCATACGTGAGTTGTGGTAGCAGTAGTGTTTGTGACAGTAGTAGTAGTATTAGTTGTGGTAGCAATAATGTTTGTGACAGTAGTAGTAGTAGCAGCAGTAGTATTAGTAGCACAGACCTGGTTGTACACGTTGAGCAGCACTAGATGGTCTCCTCCGGGCACAGTGAAGTTCATGCGAGCGTTATCGGCGTGCACCACTTTGTCTTTGGGCCGATAGAAGATGGAGTTATTCACAGACAACATGGCGGCGATGGACAGGATCTCCTCTGAGCACTTGTACCTGAATCACACACAATACATTTATATAGACACACAGACTATACTTTTGGGGGACTGGAATCAAAACATACCAGGAGTGACGTTATATTTTGGTTCATTTACACATATTTGCGTAACCCTGCATGTTTATCAGTCTCTTTTTGCCTTTTACAACTTCGTGACAGTTCTTTAATACTTATTAGCAACACGATTATACCCATTAACACATACTCAAACATAAATAAAACATTACTCCTGGTATATTTTGATATTTTGACATAATATTTTGCGAATCAATGTTTTGAAATTATTTTGTAAAACTCACTGCTCTGAGGCAAGAATCATTTTACTGAGCATGGGGTCCACGGGCAGCTCAGCCATTCGACGCCCCAACTGAAAATACAAAAACAGATCAGAAAAATAACATTTAAAGTCAGAAAACTCAGCATCAAGAACAATTACACTGATGGGTCATAAACTAACGATCCACATTTAACTAAAATACGACTTCAAGTATAAGCTATTATAACTATTAGCTTGTTGCTCCCCCAACTGGTGTGGTCATGTTACTACATTTGAGCCACATTTTCAGTCCTACACTGGGAAAGGTCTTGTTTAAAACTACTGTAGCAATGCTGTAGACCAGGAATAGTGCAACTAAAGACCTGGATTAAATCTAGTGATACTCAGAACCATATTTTTCCTTCATGACTTATGTTACTGAGATTGTAAAGAGCAATATTGCCAATTTGCAACTGAAACAAAAATTACAAAGTACAGCAATGTATAACACGTTACAACACTGTTGAAAACGAGACAAACGTGTGTGTGTCTTCTATCTGCAGGTGAAGGCTCTGGCAGCTGTGATTGCAGTATGTGTAGTATGTATCGTACTTTGGAGTAAGAGTGCAGGATATATACAGTTCCTTTCATAATAATCTCTGTTATAAATATCTGTGCTTTACCTTGGTGAGCTCCCCCAGATGGTTGAGTGCTCCAAGTGCGTACAGCTGCTCCAGAGCCAGGACCAGAGTCTCATGAGGAGGAGGGTCCATGAAGTCAAGTGAATCAGGTCATTTATGCCTAAACAATACACAACAGCAACATAGTTACATGTGACTATAAGCAGAGGCCTATAGTGATTTATTGTATAGTTTATTACACAGCATATGCAAAATAAACAGGCTAATAAAGGTGCACTATGTAACTTTTCAGGTGGGGTGTGTCTCTATGGAGGCAAGCAGATGACAGGAAAGTTGGAGCTCAACAATCTGCTCTGGTTCCAGAAGTGAATTTTCCATTAATGTTTCCAGACTTTTTGAAAAATTCAAATAATAAGAGTTTAAAGAAGACAATATGGAGGCTAACCAGCTATGTGGATGTTTTAAGTTCAAAAAGCACATTTAAAAAGCAAAATGCTGTGAAATGCTTTAATAACTTTGTGGTTTATAAATGATTCTGTGGTAATTACTTAATACATTTTTAGTTTTTTTTTTTTTTTTTTTAAAGTCTGTGGGGAAAAAAGAATGAGAAATTGACTTCCAGAACCGGAGGTTGGGCCGTTACTGTTGATCTTCATAAATGTAACACTTCACTTTGATAGTGTGACATCCACAATGAAGTCAAAACAAATGTCAATGCCAGTCTGTGTGCTAACCTAAGCTCTTGAGCAGCAGCACCACGTTGCCCAGGTTGGTTCTCTGTATCTCTGGGACTGTGGTCTCCTCCATCTCGTGCTTGAAGGCCCAGGCCGTGTACAGCCTGAAGCACCTCCCTGCAGCCACTCGTCCTGCTCGGCCCGCGCGCTGGTTAGCTGAGGCCTGGAAGAAAAGTCAGGAGAGCAGACTATTAAAGTCAACACCAAAAAACACCTCAAATATAAAAGATCTACAAATGGCTTGAACTAAATAAGTTTGAACATTTAATAAACAAGGACCAGAACAGCTCTCCACTAGGACTCAAACTAAAATTAAATTAAAGACTCAATTTTAAGACGTGACAAAAAAGACAAGAATATTTTTCAGGAAAGATTTTCAGCACGCAGATTTTAGAGCCACGACACATAATCAGTTATGTAAACTGTTAAAAACGTGAAGTTAGGAAACATCTATTTAACATTAGTCTTAAAAAAGCATTACTTCTTGAACTTGATCTTGAATTTTGAAAGTATCTATCCATCTTGTCAACTAAATCAAGTCTTGCCCAAGAGAAATCCCAGTTAAAAAAAAACAACAACCCTAAACCAGTGCTAAAAACACTCCACTTCAATGTTCACTTGACCCACAAAGTGTTAAAACAGATATTTTGAAAGAAGATCCCGTTCTTAGAAGAATAGAATTGAGGTTTAGCATGTCTTGAACGATGCTGTGCATTTTACCCGTGAACATGGCGTGACAATGAGCGACTCCATCCCTGTCCGAGCGTTGTAACTCTTCTGTTTACAAAAGCCGGGGTCAATCACGTAAATGATGCCATCTATGGTCAGGGAGGTCTCTGCGATGTTCGTGGCTACAACGACCTGGAACACAACAGGAAGTGAATGAGTTACAGTCCAAATGAGTGGACATAAGAAAGTGCCATAACTTCTACATTATGGTATGGTTTATTGATCTATAATGCCCCCAGTTAACAGGTACTGAGTTTCTTAGTCCCTTCTTTAATAATTGGTAAATAAATAATAAAAATTAAAAAAAAGTCATAACTGATAATAAAAGTATTTTGTTTTGTTTTTGTACCCTGCAGAATAACACTTTTCCCTACACCTTATGTTAATGTAAAAATTTTAACTTCATGTACATACTTATTCTACAGGTAAATAAAAAGTCAAAAATATGTCTCCTTTGAACTCTAAATGTTTTAACGTCATTTCTTTTCCATGGTCCCATGTCTAGCTCTATAGGAGCTGTACCTTGCGGGCGCCCGGGGGAGTGGGAGTGAAGATTTTGGCCTGCATGTCCGACGGCAGATTGGCGTAAATGGGAAGAATCACCAACTCAGCGATTTTAGATCCCAGACGCCGACATCGCTCCTGCAACAGCTCACAGCACGCTTCGATCTCCTCCTGAACAACACAAGTGACAACAGTTTACACCAAAAGTCACTAAAGAAGTGTCTGTTGTGTAGTATCAATGTCACCCGTGGATCAGTATGGTATCATTTGAACATTTTAAATCACAATGTTCATCTAAAACAACTTAATAAAAAAACACAAACTTCTGCATTAGAAAACTATGGTGTCCCATGGGAGCTGACATCACTGTAAACGTTATCACAACATCAATTTGTTTTAATTTGTACCAAAATTACTACGCGATGCTGCTGAATCCTATATGTATCACCAATTAAGAAAACAAATTGGAGAACAAAGTAAGTACAGAGCAGTGGGCGTATGCAGGGAAAGGTGAAAACAGGAGTTGATCGGCAATAAGAGTGTCTTGAAAATAAGCTCAAATATGTACAAAACACTCTAAATGCAACTTGAGGTGAGTAAATGGTGAGGGGAAAGAAAAGCAGGTTTTGCAGAATGCTTTATGTGTGTCCAGTGTCTGTTCAAACATTACCTGACCAGTGAGGAAGACCAGGATGTCCCCTGGAGACTGAGTGACGTGGATCTGAAGAACAGACACCACACACGCCTCAAGGTAATCTGCCTCTGGAGCCTAAAACAAGAACAAGACATCAGGAGTCTAACTCACAACCTCCAACACAGAGATCAGGACCCACAACCTCTAGTTTAGAGAGATCAGGGGTAGGGATTCACCGATACCGATATTGGTATAGAATATCAGCAGATACTGAAAAATGACCTGGATCAGATATTGGTTTTATGATATCATTTCAGGTTATTTCCTAATTGGGTCTTTAACTGGATGAAATAGGACTATTTACAGGCTGATTTTGTCCGACAACGTCTCATAATGTTTGAATGTTTTCTTCATATAATGTTGTCCAGTAGTTATGTAAAGGATAATTATCAGTCAATTATCAGCAGATAATCAAAGTCAAAATATCAATATCAGTACTTAAACTGAAAAAGATGGATTGGTGCAACCCTTATCAGGAGTCTAACCCACAACCTCCTAACAGACAGAGAGTTCGGGCCAACAGAGAACCATGCTGGTGGCGGTTCCCGCATCTAATCTTGAACCGACTGACGTGTTCATGCCAAAAATCATGGCGATCGTGAAACGAAAAGTAAAACTTGTTTAATCTAAGCAAACCATGACAACACAGTAGACGTCAGCAGGTTAATTTGGGTCACACAAGGTAAAATAAACAAAGAAAACACGTGTGTGGAATATGGTGGAGAAATCAAGTGACAAGAAGATTGTCCACTGTCCAGCAGAGGAGACCAAATATTTGCCGTGTTTGCCCGGTAAGGTTCCATCTTTGGATCGGGCATTGATACTGCGTTCTCCACAGCAGATGTTGTAGCAGAGCTTGACGCAGGTAAACAATGATTTGTATGAGTACAAATGCTCATTGGTGTCGATGAGGCGATCCATAATTGTTATTTTCCTCCCTGTGACATCCGCTTTCTTATGGTCTTGTTTTTATTTGGTGGCTAATCCACACCCTCTGACAGGTCATGGTTTCACATTCACAAATGGTCTGAACGCGGGTTGTTCACCGGTAAGCACTTTGGTTCCCAGTGAAACTGTTTCAGGAACCAGCACCGTTCTGACAGGCCTGAAAACAGCTTGAGAGAAGGAGACCACAGTACCTTGGTGTAGAAAATGTCCACAGGGAACCTTCTCCCTGGGATCCTGAAGACTGGTGCGTCGTCGAAGAAGCAGGAGAAGCGCTCTGTGTCCAGGGTGGCACTGGCAACCAGGACTTTGAGGTCAGGTCTGAAGCGGGCGATGTCTTTGATCAAACCAAACAGGATGTCTGTGTGAAGAGTGCGCTCATGGGCCTCATCGATGATCACCACACTGCAGCAGGAGAAAGACAGAGTTAGAAAGACACTAGGGCTGCGTATTGACACTCGATACAAGTCTGTCTCATATAATGTCATAATGTCTCATATATGTGCTCTTATACTTGTTCTGATACTGCTCAAGATCATTCTAAAGACATTCAGGAAAGATACTTGAGATACGTCCAGTGCGTCCGTTGCGATCTGCAAGTGCCCTTTTTTCCTGTTTTCCCAGCCTCTTGTGAACAATGGCAGACCGAGTTGAGTGGCTTTAGTGTTACATAAAACCCATCAACGGAGGAGATCAGCTCAGCAGTGTATATATTTATACTCTGTTATGACACAGCGTGTGGGTTTTGTTTTTGTTATGGTGTGTCTTTCTGTTTCTTGTCCTTCTTCCAGAGAATGACATCGCTAAGTCACTGGAGGGTAGTCCCTGATTAATCCAATTTCACTGAAATTTGAATCTGTTGTTAAACTCCGTGCCCTAGAGCTATTTAATGTGAAAAAATGTTTACCTATATTTTCTGAAATTTTCTGGAGCACTTCCTGTATTACCACATGACCTCACAAAGCAGAGTGTTTTCTGTTTGAGAAGATCTCAGCCTAAATCTGTAGTGTCTGGTATGGTTACGTATGTTTGTGATGAGGAAACATAATAGCATAGATCAGAAAGCAGTGTCATATGGACACTTTAAACAATGCTTTTTTACACAATACAAATGTAGTCACGGCTGCCCTGGGACAGACCAATAACCTTACACACATTTTATCTCTCTATATATATAATATTTGATGATGACCTGTAGCTGGCCAGGTCTGGCTCAGTCAGGAACTCTCTCAGTAACATCCCATCAGTCATGTATTTAAGCACCGTCCTCTCTGATGTGCAGTCCTCAAAACGAATACTGTACCCCACCTAAAACACAGAGAGGAGAGAGAACATGGGTGAAAGCGAATGATAAGTGAGGGGGAGAGAGAGAATAAAAGAGTGTAGAGGGGAGAGGAGGGAGTAAATGAGGGGAGAAAGGGACAGAATAATAGGATAGAGAGGGAGTGTAGGAGGAGGGAAGAGGCGGGGAAAAACAAAAGGAGGGATGAAAAATCATAGTTCAAAACAGAATAAAGGACAAAGCTGCTCTTAAAAAGTGACTGAAAAGTGATGTAAATAATAAAAGACTCTAATGGTAAAGTTGTTCAAGTCCTCACCTCGTTTCCCAGTTTGACGCTGGTTTCTTCAGCCACTCGAGCCGCCACAGACATGGCTGCCACTCTACGAGGCTGAGTGCAGCCGATCTTCATCCCTCCTTTAGTGTAACCCTGAACAGAGCAAAGGCAATTCACTTCACTTAAATAGACTTTGGTCAGATGTGTTGTTATAATAGGGTTGCAACTAACACTTATTTAGGCAAATTATGAATTAATCTGGCAAATATTATGATTGTGTTTAATCAATTAGTTGAATAATTTTCAAGAAAAAAATAAATAAATATATATATAAAAAATGTCAAATGTCCTGGATTATATATATTCCATGACATTTATTTTCCAAGATATTTAAAATTTTTTCTTATTTTCCATGCAAATTCCATATTTGGGAAAAACAATAATTTTTCCAAATTTTTCCAGATTTTTTCAGGATTTCCATAACGTATGGAATCCTTAAAATTCTTTATTAAATTAGTATTAGGAGTTTCTTAGGTCACATTGTCTGATTTATAAAACTTTCAACACATTTTTGAGTCAGCTGTGATAAATCCATTAACTTTATAAAGACAGAAGCCTTGCAGCCTTTACAGCCTGCAGCACACTCCTCTGGCTGCAGGAAGCACTCACATCCTCCATGAGATACTGTGGGATCTGGGTGGTTTTCCCTGAGCCCGTCTCTCCTTCGATGACAAGGATCTGGTGCTCTGTGATGGCCCGCAGCAGGTCCTCTCTGTAGGGGAAGATGGGCAGACTGCGGCGCACCTCCTGCATCGACTGCTTCTTCAGATCGGCCTGGGACAGAGTGGGCTCCTCCTGCTCCTGACAAACAAACACACATCATGAGGAGGGACGAACTGGCTCCTTGATTAGAGCACCCATCCACCGACCCGAAGATCAGAGGAGGGATTTCTGCTTGGACCAAGGTCTGCTGTTCTCTCTTTGACCAAGATATTTCACCCATCTTGCCTAGTATTGATAACTTCCTTCATCTGCATCATACCCATTCAGAATTTTTCAGTTCATCAACCAAAACCAGATGAAAGCTGTGTGTGTGTGTGTGTGTGTGTGTTTGTGCGTGTGCGTGCGTGTGTTGGTTGTGCAGGGTTCCACCTCTTTTTCACTGACAAAATTTCAACTTTTCAACTTCACCTTTCCATGAATTTTCCATGACTTTACATGTGTAGAATTAATCAGATTTTTAGGGCTAAATATGAAATATTAACTCTTTCCACTCACCTTATGGTTTGGGATTATAGTTTTTGAACATTCACAATACTGTCAGTGCATTTATTGTTGTCTCTTTTAAACAAAAGTCGCATACATTCAGAAATAATCATCAACAGCAATAATCACAATAATCAACAGCCTAGTGAGAACTTAACAGAACGCTGGAGCTGCGTGAAAGAGATACTAAAATTCCATGACATTTCCAAAACTTTCATTGCATTTACAAAATTCCATTAATGTCATAGGCTTGAAAATGACATTTTCAATTTCCATGACTTTTCCAGGATTTCCATGACCATGGGAACCCTGGTTGTGGTTGCAGGTGTCACGGGATCAGACTGACAGCTTCACATCTGTTTCACTGTCCCAGGGCACCTGTGTCTCCAATAGTAGCTTACCACCACTAAGTATGGAGTTAATGAAAAATGCAATGTAAAGCGTCTTTCAGTGTGCAAAAAAGCACTATACAAGTCCTATACATTCTTCTAAGTTTGTTTTCGGCCTACTTTTGAGTATCAACCTTGTTTATCAGATGATCTCTTTTATGTCTAGCATGTCCAGCCTTTACATCTTTGCATTTTTATCAGTTTGCTCCTAGGCCAGATTCAGACAAACAGGTAAGTTAACTTAAGACATTTCAGATTAACAGAGTTTTTAGTGTGTTGCTCACTGATTTTTCAGCTACCTGTGACATTTTTGTCCTTTCATTTTTTTCTCATAAGCAGACATACTAGTTTTGATACAGAAGGACTATGTGTGTCCCTGATTGGCTAATCCACATGTCAATCATGTCCATCTGAATTTGGGGTTATTCACCAGTAACCAGACTCACATCATCAGAAAGTGTTGGAAAACTGTGTATTCTGGATCCCATGCAAGCATTTTGAGCTTTTTGCACACGTTTCCCAATGTGTTTTTTAAAGAGGGGTAATACACTTCTATGGGGTGTTAATTGTTAATTGATTTAGCTCATCATGTTTTATTTTTATGTTTTTGTATGTATATATGTATGTAAAATTTTATTGTTTTGAAAAATCCCATATTCACCAAAAACAATAGATTAACTTGTTTTATAAATTTCGCTTAGATTTGGCTGCCCCTCCCCTCCTTTTGCTCTCGCGCCAAGTTATTCCCCCTTCAGAGCGCTATCACAACACAGTCAATGTGCATCCACCAATAAATCCACACATCACATCAGGTTTGTCAAGTTGCTGTGTACAGTTTGGAATTATATTTTTGTATATTTATGGAGAATTGTTGTGTGGCAGCATGAGTGACATAGGCTCGTGAGCGGAGCCTCTTGTAAGGAGGGTTCAAAGAGGGCCTGGGACAAATCGCTTGAGAACTCAAACATGCATGAATGCCAGCTACAACCTCTTCAGACATGTTTTTGATGAGGGAACAATGTTAGAACAAAGTAGTAAGATCCAAAAAGTCTATTTTGCAAAATATCATGTTTTAAATACTAAAAACAAACACACTAAGCCAAGTCCCTGTGTTTTACCTTCTCTGTGAGGGTTCCCTTCATGGTGATGGCTGTGCTGACAAAGTCGATCATCTCCTCTTCCTCCAGGATGAGTTGGTATCTCTCCTGCTCCTGCTGGGCACGCAGCTCTCTCTCACTCTTCGCCCCAAAACTGAGCGCTGCGGTGCGCAGTCGCTCCTCCTCCCATCGGCTCTGCTCCCCTCCAAGCTCCATGGGTGTGTCCTCCAGCTCCAAGTCCCTCTGAGGAACATCCTAATGGAAACAGGGGGATTTAAAACACGGTTGTCAAAAGTATTCAAAACCAGATACTAAGCGATAATAAAACTAGTGTTGAAATTAAGATACTCATTTGAGCAGATATCAACACTATTATGTCACATTCACAGGAGAGAAATTAACGTTTTCTGAATAGTTTTAAAATGATTTTGAGCTGCATCAGAACAAGTATAAGAGCACATAGACTAATATAAGTAGCATCATTTCCTCCACATCTTCTCCGGTTTAATTCTGCATAAAACTGCTAACCCTCCATCCATCCATCCATTTTCGTCCGCTTATCCGGGGCCGGGTCGCGGGGGCAGCAGCCTAAGCAGGGACTCCCAGACTTCCTTCACCCCAGACACGTCCTCCAGCTCCTCCGGGGGGACCCCGAGGCGTTCCCAGGCCAGCCGAGAGACATAGTCCCTCCAGCGTGTCCTGGGTCTTCCCCGGGGCCTCCTCCCGGTGGGACATGCCCAGAACACCTCCCGAGGGAGGCGCCCAGGAGGCATCCGGAACAGATGCCCGAGCCACCTCAACTGGCTCCTCTCGACGTGGGGGAGCAGCGGTTCTACTCCGAGCTCCTCCCGTGTGACTGAGCTCCTCACCCTATCTCTAAGGGAGCGCCCAGCCACCCTGCGGAGGAAACTCATTTCAAGCGCTTGTATCCGCTGCTAACCCTGTAGTTTAGATCTGTATAAACATGTTCTGAAATTTGATTTGTTTGTCAGTCCATATTTCACTCTTTTTTTTTTTTTTTTATCAATTCTTCTGGACGTGTTTAAAATGTAAACTTTGAACAGAATCACATTTTCAAAACACAAATCTAATCCCAATGTTGATCAGAAAAAAAATAAAAATTGCAATAAATATTTTTCCCAAATAGTTCTACTCTAATTTAGTATTTCTGCATCTTACTTTGCTCCTTTTCTCCTCTGGCATGTAGTATCTGTTCTTCCTCTCCTCCTGCTCCCTCGCTCCAGCCTTCTTATACTCTTTGGCCAGGTCTCTCAGCGTTCGTTTGTAATCCAGGTCTTTTTTCTCACGCTCCGTCAGATTATCAGAGGAAAACAGGTACTCTTCATCCTTAATCTCAGCCTCCAGGTCCTCTAGTTTCTCCTCCTCGCGTTTCTTTAGGTACTCCCGACGTGAATGCTTTCGCAACTCCGGCAACTGGGCACACAACACAGAAGACACAGAAAGGTCATTTTAGTGTGTAGAGGATATTAAAATGAGTGGTGATAGACAGAAAGGATGGTACAGAGGAAGGAAAGAAGGTGGAACAGAGAACGCAGAAAAGGAAAAATTCAAGCAGAGAATGTAGAAGAGTGGAGAAGAGGATGCAGAGATGGTCAGATGGAGCAGAGGAGCAGAGGAGAGGGTCAGACAGACAGAGGATGCAGAGGAGAGGATCAGATGGAGCAGAGGATGGAAAGGAGAGGGTCAGATGGAGCAGAGGATGGAGAGGAGAGGAACAGACGGAGCAGAGGATGTAAAGGAAATGGTCAGACAGACAGAGGATGCAGAGGAGAGGATCAGATGGAGCAGAGGATGGAAAACAGAGGGTCACATGGAGCAGAGGATGGAAAGGAGAGGGTCAGATGGAGCAGAGGATGGAGAGGAGAGGGTCACATGGAGCAGAGGATGGAAAGGAGAGGGTCAGATGGAGCAGAGGATGGAGAGGAGAGGGTCAGATGGAGTAGAGGATGAACCCACCATGTTTCTCTGGTCGTCCTCGGCCATCTTCAGTCTCTTCTGAGCCTCTTCATAGGCCTGAAACAAATAGGAAATAAAAAAACAATTGTAGGTTAAAATTTATCTACAGAAGTGAATTTGGATGTGTCAACAACAATATTAACAATTTCTACTTCATATTTGAGAGTACACCTGCACTTTTAGAATATAGTAACTTTATTAGGGTTAGCCGCTATAACAATAAATTGTATAATTTAGAGCAGTTCTATTTTCAAACACTCTGCCCGGGGCCTACTCCTCCTGTTGGCCAGGCTCTGAGGGCGTGAGTGATTGAGTGAGAGGTGGAAAGAGATAAAATAATGAAATCATCTGGTATATTACATACTCCTAATGACTGATAACCACATTATGTCTTATTTTTATCTTATAATACTACACATGCACAACACTACTCTAGAGATTTTAAAAACACAGATAAACTCTTCTATTGGTTTAGAGAGGACCTCTCTGACCTTCTTGTCCGTGCGCTCAGCGATGTTCCGTGTTTTGTCTTTATCCTTCTGTCTCACTCTCTCGGCGAAGGCATCTCTCTCCTCCAGGTCGTGGAGTCTCTCTCTCTCCTCTTTCTCCCATTCCTCTTCCTCTTCCTCCGGCTTTATGCTTTTCTGATCTGAGACACTCCTGAGGAACAGAAGAACAGATATAATCAAGCAAACTAAGAAACTAAGCTGCTTTTATTCCTCATTTAACCAGGACATGAACAAAACTAAACTACCTTTATGTAAGGTGTATTAACAAACGTCACAGATTTTTTTTTCATTTTCTCCAGTTGACATAATTTTTTATCGTTTGTTTTTTTTGTTTTTTTTGGGGGGGGGGACATCTGTAGATGTAGTAGTGATAGTTACTTTTTGGGCAGTTCCTCTTCACTGGATGACTCGCTGTCCTTCTTCTGCCTGATGTTCCTCCTTTTCCCCCTCTCTCTCTCTTTCTCTCTCTCCCTCTCTCTTTTGGTCTTTTTGGGTTTGGTCTCTCTGGCTCCGCCTTCGTCGCTGTCGCTGTCCTCCAGCAGAGTGTACGTCTGATTCTTCCTCTGCATCTCCAACACTTGCCGCTCCAGAGCCCGAGCCGGCTTCTCCACAACCGCTTTCTGAGGGATCTACAAAAAAAAAAAAAAAAAACACACAAAAAAACATAACATCTTTACTGGGAGGAGGAGTAACACAGGGAGGACATGCACACTCCATTCAGAGAGACCAGGAGTCTAACCCACACCCTCCTCACTGAGAGAAGGAGACAGGATAACCGTACCTTTGCATAGAGCTCATGAGCAAAGCTGGTGACGCTCTGGTCTATATCGATGGTTCCTGTTTGTTGGAGTCTCGTGACGAAGTCGTCAGCGCTGGAGGACTTTCGCGCTAAACCGACCATGAACTGAGAAACGTATCGGTCGCTCAGGCCCAGGATGTCATGGAGACGGTCACTCACCCACTGCTCCAACCCCGCCATCGCTCTGAGGAGTGACACAGACAAGAGCTACTAAGTTGATGTTATAATAATAAAGAACTGAAAAATAATAATAAATAAATGTCACTTATTGTCTCTACTGATTAAAATAAAGGACAGATGCCAGATTTAATATTAACTGTGTTAAATCTTCTACACTTTTAGAACAAAACTACAAGCATTAAGTATAATTTGTTTTACAAATCTTATTGTTTAGCTTATTCTTGTCCTCCTTTATTGAAAGACACTTCTGTTTATCAAAGTCAAAGTCAAATTAAAAACTACAGTACACACACCACACACACATTTCCACACACATGGAGCATGAAATGTACACAGACAATAATCAATAAAATAAACACAAAATATACAGGCAGACTAACAAGGGACATATACATTTCCAACAAGAATAGAAATGAGGTATCTATTTTTGATAAATAATGAAGGTGCAAAATTTAAAGTGCAGAGTGCTGAAATAGCAGCATGGATAAAGGAATGTATTAAGTCGTTTTGGATGTAGTGGTTAACATGTTCACGGAATATACTGACATAATGTTTATACCGAGAGTCTCAGGCACATTTGAAACATTCATATTCGCAAAGTCTGTTTTGAAACATCATACCTGCATGATTTCATGGAAATGAAAAGTTAAAACAACTTTCCAACATTCTTCATGGAGATAGAAACATCTTATGGTATATTGTGGAATAGTATAGCCAAAGGAATGTTTCCATAAAAACAAGCAGGTCACAACAAAATATAACGTTGCGGTAGGACGTTTTTTTGTATGTTTTCAATTAATGACTTATGAGAAAGAAATAACTGATACAACCAGAATCACATGCATTTCTATTTCAGACTACAGGAGGTTCTGTTATTTTGTTTGTCCCACAATTTTTGTAGTGTCCACAGACCATGCCATCAAATGCTCATTAGTCAGTATGGGAATTTCATCATCTTTTTTTACTCAAGTTGGTAGTTTCATTCTGTTAAAAGTTTTACATGAGATTCTTTTAGTAGTTTAATGCTAGATACAGAAGGAACATATAACCATTTAGTAGTGTCCGTAGACAATGTAGTGTCTGTAGAAAATGACTTTAAAGTCATAAAATGTATATATATTTTTTTAAATTAATGGATCATTTTACCACATTTTTCAAGAAATCTGAGCATTAGAAGTGAGGAGAGTTGTAATAAAGCAATCATTTCTCAAATATAATCTTACCCTCAATACATAAATAGCATTAATATATGACTTGTTTCAATGGTAAAGAATTCTTTATTCAAATGTAGTGTCTGTAGACAATAGACGGTATCCCATTTTAACAATCAATGAAAAATATACTAAATAACCTTGTGCTCTAATATTTTGGATTTAATTATCTGTCTGTCTTCTTCAGTTCTGACTGTGTTCTGTAAGTCACTGTCTTATCTGGCAGATAGGTTCGTGGAGAGACTGCGTTACATCAGATTTCTTCAGTTACTGGGTTTAATTAATCTGATTCAGTTATTTGCATGAGTTTAGCCTAAGGTCAAGCAGCACACGTGCAAAACTTTAGCGCTTTAATTTCTCAAACAATATATAGCAGCATAGACAAACATTACATCAGTTTGCTACATCTGAAGTCTCTTTCTCTGTCATAAAACTGTAAAACCAGCGCTGTGAAAAAGAGTCAAACAAAAGTCCTGTTTCTTACTTTTCTCTGCGCTGTTGTTGTGACAGAGGCGCGTTAGCTCCGGAGGCTAACTCAGGCCAAATAAAAGACTGTTTTCTCTCGGAGCGTCACTGTTTCTCCTGGATCCGCTGTCTCTGCATTAACATGATCTTCTGTGAGGATTGTAAAAAGATTTATAATGTTTAATTCACAGAAAGTAGGATAAACTCCGGCCTAACTCAGTCATGTTTGTAACTTCATGCACGCTCCAGTCCAATACCGGAAATACGTCACAGAGTTCGTTTGTTAGTTTGTCCATTTCCGCTGTTTGGGGTTTGAAGAGCGCCCCTATCAACTGAGTGTAGCCAAAAATATTTATGTTCGGTCAATGTACTTTCATGATTAGAACTGATAAAGTCAGTTTTAATAGATGAATAATTGTATATTTTAGTTTAATTTGATCACAATAACTGTAGATAATACAAGCTAAATAACCACTTATATCAGGGGTGTCCAAACTTTTTTCATCAAGGGCCACATATCTAAACACAGACGAAGCAGAGGGCCGATCGAGGGCAGTAGACTGGTGCTCAGTACAGGAAATAATTGAAATGTGTGCATGTTTAACACGTTAGAATGAGCCATCAGTCTTTAATCATGCTAAGATCCTTAAAATATAAAATAAAAGATCCTAAATATTAAATATTATCATATCAAGGTAGATTTTCAAAAAAACTTGCAGTAAAAAAATATTTTTTAATTGACGCAAGGTAATTTGGGCCAATTCACCTGAAAGCCTGAGGGCCAAGAAAAAATAGTCTGAGGGCCGCATTTGGCCCCCGGGCCATAGTTTGGACATGCCTGACTTATATAGTCTAATCCAGGGGTGCTCACACTTTTTCAGCGTGCGAGTTACTTACAAAATGACCAAGTAAAAATGATCTACCTAATACAAAGCCAAGCAAACTGCACTGTAACACTGCCCCTTTTTTGGACCCTCACCCACAGTTTGAGAACCCCTTCTTTAAGAGAACTTCCTCTGGCACTTTAAACAAAACTGTGAAAAAAGTGAAGGAAGATTTTGAAACCAGTTTTTTAAAGTTCCGAACTGAAGTTGCATTCTTTTCTGGTTTTGCAGTGATATTTACAAGCCTCTGCACATTTACCAAACCAAACGCACATCGTGACAAACACAGATGCATTTGTGCACTTTTGTTAGAGAAACTTCAGCCAAATGTGGCAGTAGGTCTGTTCTGTAGATCCGCTCTATGCTGTAGACCTGCTTTGTGCCAACACTATAACACAAATTTAGACTGGTTTTTGCTTCACATTTGGTCTTGCTCTTCTAATCAGCCGCACTGTGGGAGGGGCTTGTGTTCGCTGTACGCAGGAAGGAGCGAGAGCGTGAAAAGGCGAGGGGCGGCGTGCTGACGTGAGGCAGATGGACAGGTAGGATGTTTAGGAAGTTTAACCTGCCCTGTGATGCCGCTGGTACACGAGGGCACACGCTGTTGCAGACGAGCCGTGCATAGGGAGCGGATGTATTTGTGATGTGCTGTAGAGTCTCCGCGGGTTTCAAATGAGCGCACAGGCTGCAGTGAGACGCCCCACACGCTCCTGCACCCGCTACAAGTTTATTGCCAACAGCAGTGGCCATGATGAAATATGATCACACTTGTTGAGTGTCAGACCTTGAGTGAGAGACAAGACTGAGTCCAAACGCGAGTTCGAGACGAGACACGGCGATCTACCCACACGACCTTGGCGATTGACTGGTAGATCGCGATCGATGTATTGAGCAACCCTGATCTAATCATATAACCCCTAAATATCACATATACAGTATATAAATGAATAGAAAATCTACAGTTACTGGGTTTCAGATGACATCACAACATTCTATAGGCCAAAATTAATTAATACAGATGGGGGCAGGTAAAATTAAAATAGTTAAAATGCAAAATTATGCTGTAATACAGTGAGTTCATGGGTTTAGTCAATAATTGAAAATGAATTTACCTTTTGGAGATTTTATGGTTAAGTATAATGTAATCAATAGGGAAAGCTGTCTCTTGTCCCCATCTGAGAGTATGACATCATCACTTTCTAGAATGTGAAAACTACCAATAAACAATGGTTATGGCACATTAACCTTTCAGACCTCATTGGCCCTGCCAAACTGGCCCCACTGATCGACTGCTGTAGGACTATTTTTAACAGCAAACTGAAGTAATAGCTACTACCACTGATACACAACTAAAATTTAAGTTTCAAGTTTTATTAAAGTTATTGTGGTTCTGTCAAAATTAGATAAAATGCACTCAGCTGAATGATCCGGGGTGAGTGTGATGTTTGAAGATGTGGCCCATAGTGAAAAAAAGTTTGGCGTGTTAGACTCGGGATCCCCCCGGGCTAGCTGGAGGAAGTGTTCGGGCTGAAGGAAGTCTGGGAGTCCGTGCTTAGACCTCTAGGTTACAGTTATGAAATTAAACTACCTCTACATATATCACATCTGCTGCTTGTGTCTAATCAGGAAGTTAAATTACAGGAAAAGAACAAACAAACAAAACATTATGAAAAATCTTAGGTAACACATTTAGTATAATATAGCCTATAATATAATGTAGTAACTGTTCAAGTGGAGTGTGTTGTCAAACCTGTCCTATGCATTTGAAGCTTTTATTGTCATATAATTTAAATACATAAAAAAGTATATATATGGACATGATGCAATGTTCTCAACTTCCTGTGAAATTTAACCAGGGCTGCATCTCATTTCTCTTTCCTCACTTCCTTCTCCTTGATTCCTCTCCTCGATTTTGCAGGAAATGGGTGAGGAAGTCCCACAGAGGAGACACAGAGAGGAGAGAGGATACAAATTCCACACTGAGACCAATAAAATTTAATTATTTTCTGTGGTGTTTGCTCCCGAAGCCTCCCTCAGGTTTTCTCCTTCATTCCGTCGTTTTCTTTGGGACACCGCTTAATATGACGCATTTGATTGACAGCTGAAAAATGGAGGATTGGGGAGAGGAATCAAGGAGAAGGAAGCAAAGAAAGAGAAATGAGAAGCGGCCCATGGATTTATACTTTGCATGAAATTTAACATACCAATACTGCCATCTAGTGGATTTCTATTGCTCTTACATCATGGTGGTAAATATGTTTTCATGATTTGCAATTTAGCAGAGTAACTTTAATTCAGAATAAGTATAAGTACAAAGAAGTGGTCCAAGAAATGACTCAGCTAAGAGTAAAAAAGTATGTGGGAATACTTCTACTCAAGTAAAAGTTAAAAGCTTGACCAAAATGTAAGATATAAACACTTAAATCTATCAGAAAATGACTTA